TCACTCCAGCCATCCTGCGGGAAGTGTCAAGCACTTGCTTGTATCCCGTGATAAATCATTGTTCATTGTTCTTTGAAATCCTGCATGATTTCTAGCTGATCACCATCAAGAATAAGCGCAGGGGTGGGTTCCTGCCAATCTTGGAGAAGAACTTTGCATTTTGATGGAGCAAATCACAGTCCAAAACGATAGACAGCTAGTGCTAATCGGTCCAGTACTGCTTGGCACGTTTGGGAGCTGCCACAGATTAGGGCACTATTGTCCGCATACTCCAAATCAAGAAGTCGTCCACCAGGAAGTGGCTCCACATCTTCTAGGTCGTGTCCAGCGAATGTTGTTTCCATGACTTCCCCAACTACAAAGTTAAGTAGGAAAGGTGACAGCAGACAACCTTGTCTCACACCGATGGAGATATTGAAGGGTGGCAACAGTTTGCTATAAACCCTCACTCTGCTCGAACTATGCGCGCACGGTGCTTTGATAATGTTTACATATTTATCAGGCACAGCTTTCCTGAGTAGGCAGTCACAAAGAGCAAATCGATCTACGGAACCGAAGGCGCCTTTGATGTCGAGAAACACGACAACTGTGGGTCGCCAATAAACATGGTGGTGCTCCAACAATCGAGGTTTCTCGATACTGGTACATCCGTTAAAATCTGCCAGTCTTTTTATTCGGCGACGACCTCAAGCTTGTCCATATACTCTGAGGAGATGACGTACTTCAAGCGGATCCCTATTTCCCTGAGAAATGGCGCAACACTCGGATGGTGAAGTTATCGTTTAAAATACTAAGTAATGCGTCCTACAGTTATTCGACCCTCAAATGGTCGATTGATATTAACCGCAAAATATCCATTAAGCATGGAATCTGGTATTCCTTCAATATATATATATATATATATGTAAAAACACAAACTGTGGTACAGATATTGTGCCATGGGCATCATGGCGGAATGGAAAAACAGTATGGATAAACGGGGCAAAACTGTTGCAAGTTTGGTGCAGTTTATCCCTCACATTTGGTGAATATTTTAGGGGGAGGAAGGGGGTCGCCTCAAAACGCAGATGCACAGGTGCACCACTAACATCGATCTTGAGCCATGGCTTTCATGGTCTCCAACCAGTCATTATCCCCATCTCTCGGACGCCAACCAGGCGGTCGATATCAACCAGCTGAGGCCAAATATTTTGTCAGATTTTTCATGTGACTCCTCCAAGTTGTAGGCTGTCCACTAGACCGTCTCTTCCAGCCCTGTCCAGCAACCGCACAACAAGGCCCAACGCGGGTAACGATGAACGCATGCGCAATCCGTGTCCAAGCCACCGCAGTTGATGCAGTGATACGAACTTTTCGAGCGAATGATTTCCTCATCCCAAGATATGCTGTCTAACTTCCACATTGCTAACATGGTGCCGCAAACACACACGGGCAATTGGAGCCCGTAACGCTCCAACCGAGGCCAACTTCAAAGGTAGGGCCTTCATTCCTCTCGACCAATTTAACGCTTGACCACCTCTCCTCTTCTCTCTTCCACACCCTCGGAGAACAAACAATGCACATCGCGGGAGCCGATGGACTAGCATGCGTAACACGTAGCCGAGTCATCGGAGCCTGGTGGGGAAATAACAGCGCTCAGAGGTTCAGTTCCTTTTCCTGTGCCGAAACAAGGCGTGGAACATGCTCGTTGCTCACTCGGTGTTCCCATTAGATGGGAGCTGAACCGCGAAGGCACAGGTAGTCGAACGTAACTAAACTCTTTATGTCTGCTGATCTAAGGGGTCAGGTTTCGCAACCATACAGTAAGGTCGAATGTACCGCTGAATTGTACACTCTACCCTCCAGGGTGAGAGTGATATCGCGCCGGCGCCAAAGGTGGCATAGACTAGCAAAAGAACCTCGAGCTTTTGCTATACGGTTAGTGATGTCATCTTTGATCCCAAGGGTGCTGATACAACTTCCCAGGTAGTTACATTTCTGAGCTGATCCCCACCAAGAGTCAGTGCAGCAGGTAATCCCTGCGAATCTTGGAGGAAAGCTTTACACTTCGATAGTGCAAAGCAAAGCCCGAAGACGCTGACAGCCAGTACTAATCTGTCCAGTGCACCTTGGCACGTCTAGGAGCTGTCGCAGATGAGGGTAATGTCGTGTACGTACTCCAAGTCATGAAGTCGTTCTCCTGGGAGTAGCTCCACACCTAAATCATGTCCTGTGAATGCAATCTCCATGACTTCGTCAATAGTGAAGTTAAACAGGAAAAGTGACAGCGGGCATGCTTGTCTCACACCGCTGGAGATATTTTACGTCGAAGACAGCTTACCTTAAGACCTAACTCTGCCTGAGCTACTCGCGTATAATAATCGGATAATATTTAGATATTCCTCGGGCACACATTTCCTGAGTAGACAGTCCAAAAGGGCACATCGATTAACCGAATCGAAGGTATATTTGATGTCGAGAAACACGACTACGATGGGTCGCCGATATGTGTGACGGTGCTCCAACAACTGACGCATGGTGATGATGTGATCGATGCAGCCACGACCCCGACGAAACTCGGCTTGCTATTCACAAATCTGGCTTTCACGAACGTCAGTCAGTCTGTGAAGGATTACAAAGGTAAGCGATTAGGACGCAATGGAGATCAGACTGATTCCTATGTGTATGCCGTATTCCGAGCGCAAGCCTCCTTTGAAGAAAGGAACAATAACGGAGCGGCTCCAGTCGGTGGAGACAATTTCCTGCTCCCACAGTTTCACTAGTAATTGGTGTAAATCATCAACAAGAGCAAGACCCCGGAATTTGAAGAGGGCTGGGTGCAGAGCCTCTGGCTAGTGGCTTTGTTCAACTTCAACAGTCCGATCTCACCTTCGACTTCCGAGCGAGAGGGCAGAGGCAAAGGGACAGCCTAGGGAGCAGGGCGATCACTGGCCGGTAAGGAATCTGACAATTCAGGCCGATTAAATTGCTTAGCCCAACAACGCAAAGGTTTTGAAAAATTGTGGACAGTCTGTCCACTCTCGTCATAAATTTTTGCACTAACACCAGGTCTTCTGCTGCACGGTTCCCGTATCAGACGGAATAACTTTCGATGATTACCGTATGCAGAGGCCACTTCTATCTCTGACGCACGAAGAAACCACCAAGGTTCGCGGTCTATCTTCAGGCTAGCACGGAGTTTTGCCCGGGGCTCTTTACGAGTGACAATCTTTAGTGGCGAGTCATTTCCGCCAGTTCGCAGTGTTGCTAGGCGGACCATTGTGACTTGTTATAGGTAGAAAGCTTGCCAGGCGAAAACCTACCAGGTCCTGGAACACTGCTGCCTAATCATTTGCTGGAATGGGTATATATGAACCACCAAGCTGGTAGCACGAGGATGTTGTTGAGCCAGCCAGCCGAATAATCCCAATACCAAATAGCCTGTGCTGGACAATACGTACTTAACACAAATCACGACAAACATACAGTCCCTGCCAAACCCGAGGTGTTCATGACACGCTCAGTAGTCTCATCTTTGAGCGCTGCAACTTCAACTGTGGGAGCATGCCATGAATGACAGGAAGGCTATAGAAGACGTAAAGATATTGAAGGATATTGGGTGTTGCCCGTCCGAAAACCACTACACTCAACGACTGGTTACGAACCTAGTTGGCTTCAGCAATTAGATAAAGGAGATGTCAATCACCTACCTTTTTTCATGGAGGCATCTCCCCAAAGTACCGGGAACGTTTCATGCAACTTCACTTCCAGTCCCTCCGGTAGCGATATTCGAACAAGAGAACAATGGATTTATCACGGATATAAAATCAAACACTTTACGGTCCCGAGGACTGTAGTGGCACAGGCTGACTTCAAAGTCAACCGACGCCACGAATGAGATTGCGTGTCGCAATCCAGGACATACAGCGGGTGCTCCAAAACCCGAGAATCAACTTCTAACCGCAGTGTCAAACACTGCTTGCGGAGCTCAATGGCTTAGTGATCATGGCGATAGCAGCCAAGCATTATGCGCCGAGTTCCACTCCCAGCTTGGCTATCTCTACCTGGTGAGTCTAAACCAATACGAAACAGTCGGTCGTGGAGTGCAGGAATGGGAGAGCTCCACACCGAAACCATCCAAACGCGTAACAATTTTCCGTAACTTTAGAGTGAGATCAAAAATGAATGTATCAAACAACGCGTTGCCGAGGACAGACCTAAAAGTTCGAATATGCACATTGTTTAGTTACGCTGTTGCGTATCCCAGTAACTTGGGTTAAGTCATCAAGTCGGGTTTTGTATCCGGACAAGGTGGGAATAGAGATGACAAAATGCGGAAGTAAGTTCCACTGCTGGGATACACGAAAAGAGCAAACGTTCCAATGCTAATACACAATTCGCTCATCAGGAACAAACTTCTTCCTTTCTACTTTAAAGATGAGGCAAATACCCCCCGAAGACTCAGTGGCAAAATTGTGTCCTGCTAGTACCAAGGGTTAGAACAATCATAAGCTGTAAGTTTTGCCTTATCGGATACATTGTCTTGTGTAACAGCCTGCCAAGCATAAGCTTGGCATGCGAAGATCTTAAAGCATTCCACATTAAACTTGCTAGTTTCATTGACCTGGAAATGATATTATCCGTTCGCATCCAACTCATCGCATAAAATACTCCAGGGTGATCAAAAACATTTAAAACTAAAACCGGCCTCTGTTTTCATTCAAGGAACTCATATGAGAGCAGGATTATTTCTGTATAAACTTGGAGGTTCCAATTTTTGGAACAGTTCCTCGCAACAGATGAATATGTCACGCTCATTCTTTATCACTATTACTTGACACTATTTGTTGCTATCTACACGTCTGACTTTACCGTTCCCAATCTGACCATCCAACAAGACTTGTGTATTATTTGTTTTATTTTTGCTAGCCCGTCATTCCATTGCAGTTTTTCCAGGAACATGTTAGTTCTAGTGAACCGATCCGAACAGCACCGGAAATCACTACCTGGCGTAATTAGGGGAAAAAGTCACATGACCTCAGTTCGAATCACTGCTGATCAATGTTCCAAGTTTCATTCTCATTCTTGGTGGTGAGCAGCCGATGCAACAACATGAAGTACATTTGCCCACATTGGACACGGTGGAAAGTGGTGAGTATTTTGCCTGAGAATTGCCACGTTTGTAATACCAAATGTCGCTCCATGAGCTTTTCTTCATTCTGATTGCAGCCGATCGACGAGAGAATAGCCAGACTTTAAGTGCATGTGGCACAGAAAAGAAAAGAAAGGAGTTATTCAACGGGGTGACTGTGGCCGAAGATGAAAGGAGAGATTTAAGCTACCATATTTTCCAGTTGGCGATTTTGACCGAACAAGAGATCCGCAAGATTCGTTCGTGTTACGAGAGTCTGGTGACGCAGCTGCGAGTCGCCATTCTTTGCCCACATTTGGATGAGAGGAAAGATACATTAAAAGCGAAGTTGCGCACCTACTGTGAAGAGTTTATCCAAATCGTCGACGAACGTGTGATGCCATACTACTGGGTATCAGTGCAAGTGAAAAGCCATCTGTTGCGTTTGAAGGCAGACTACTTGCGTTACTTATTTGAAATCCATCCCAAAAATGGAACCTATCAAGTGCGTGCCCACAACGCATATACAGAAGCGAAATCCTTTTTTGTTTCTCATCGATTGACCAGAACATCAGAATGGTACCGCCTGAGGTTAAATTACTCGGCGCTACTATACCTAGATGGATTCCCAACTGCAGCGATGTTTCTTTGCCAACGATTGTTAAAATCGGCCAAACTAAAGCTGTTTGACTCAGCATTCGAAAAGCGGATACGTAAAAATGTTGACTTTTTTAAGCGGGCCACTCTGGGCTAGCTTTCCTGTTCTCACGAAATTCTGAGCATGAAACTTAAGTTAATTTTCACCGGAATTATTTCTTATCGACTTTTTGTATCTCTACTTTAATCTAAATCATCCAGGGGTTTGATCTACTGTGTCTGTACTCCATATTGTCAGTTTTGAAAGCAACGTTCGGGTACAAGCCCACAAGGGATCTTAGTAGTGATGGGATGATAAAAGTATCTCACTCCAAGAAGAATGGTCTAATATCGACTTGCACCTCCAGTGTATGTGGTAAGTCAGATATAGAAATATTGCCAACCACGGTCGTTGTGACAATGGTGTCGGCACATAAGACACGGAACCAAGGCGGGTGAAAAAGAAGATGAAGCAGTCGGTTGCGTTTAGTACGACTTTCAAAGACATTGCAGAGGATTGGGCCTCCTCTATTGTGTGTATCTTGCAATAAGAGATAGTTGTTCCAACACCAATTGTAATGACCTGGACATTCCCCCAAATGACTGTGTACACTATTGTAAAATATATTCAAATTATACCTTTCGTATGTACTAGGGAATTAGGCGGTTTGTCTGTTGGAACGTTGTTCCCGTTTGTTGGAAACACGAACACGATCTCCGCCTTTGGCGCGCGACTCGACTGCGAACGACGATTCGTCAGCGCACTCGACGCCAACGACATTCTCCCTAGCTAGCTCTCATCTGGTGCCCTATTTTTAGCACTAACTAATTCTCCTCCCGTCCAATAAACTTTTTCCCTAGCTTACTCTTGTGTATTCTACCCATTGCTTTGGGTTGGCCGTCTAGTCTCATACCGGATATATATATCGCACGAGCACCGCGCTATACAAGTTTCTTGTACAACATTGGACGCGTTCTTTTTTAGAGGCGCTTGTGACGTGCGCTCCCTTCTAGTTTCAGAGAAGTTAAAGTTGCAATTTGTCTATGGACCGCAGCATTAGTTGCCATGGAGCACGGGGACGACACAGACCGATGAAGCGAGCTCGGTGTGACATGTCACTTTGTGGTGCGGATCTTCCCCGAGCACCATACACGGTTACATTGACATCGCCCACTGACCACGAAGCCAGATATCACCTGCGTCTTTCTGGAGATCCAGAAGCAAGCTCAGCGGGTTTGGCTGGTGTAGGTATTGCACTAAGTGGCAAGGCCGAGGCGGCACTACTAGACTGGTTCCCGATTAACAGCCGACTATGTGCAGTTCGGCTTCGGGGTTCAGGTAGAATCAACAGGCATCGCGAAGAGAGACGCAACTGGTTTGTGATCTCTGTGTACGCTCCAACTGACTGCAGTGGCGACTCGGTCAAGGACGAATTCTACCGGGATCTACAACAGCTCTTGACTAATGCTAAAACGTCGGATGTCGTTATCCTTGCTGGGGATTTTAATGCACGGGTTGGCCGCCTGTTACCATACGAACGCCACCTTGGTGGTCATCACGCGCTCGATGAGAACCGCTCTGATAACGGAGAGTGGCTTCTTACATTGTGCAAAGACAACCGTCTGTTTCTTTTGAGCACTAGCTTCAGGCGTACGAAGAAGCGTTCCGCAACGTGGCGTCCTCTTTCTTCAACACAACCATGGTCTCAAATTGATCACATTGCGATTAGCTTCAGATGGCGTGGCAGCGTACTGGACTGCACGTCCTTTTGGTCCACCTTTGTTGACTCAGATCATGCTCTGGTCTGCGCGAAAATCTGTATGTGTTTTGAAGGGTCCCGAAACACGAAGCACCACAATATCGATGTAAACAGAGTAACTGATTCCTCTGTCCAGGCGAGCTATCAGTCTTCAGTGGCATATGCACTCAGTTGCAATCCACCGCAAGAAGTGAAACAACACTGGACTTGTATACGGAAAGCGCTGACCATTTCCGGACAGTCATGTTGCGGTCTAATTCGACGCCCTTTGAAGTCTTGGATCTCTGCTCGTTCTCTGGAGCTGTTCGAACTCCGCAAAGATATCCCCGCAGAATCAGGTTGCAACGAGCGGCGCCGTTCTGCCAACCGGCTGCTCAAGCAAAGCCTACGCAAGGATCGCGAGCCACGGTGGTCTGAGCTTGCTTTAGAGATGGAGACTGCTGTCCTCTCTGACAACACTAGCAAGCTTTTCCAACTCATCCGGTCCACTGGCCTCAGGAAGCCTGGTGTCAGTGAGGTCATTTGTGAGGTGGATGAGTCTCCGATCACCAACCAGCAGAGGCGTATGGACCGCTGGGCCGAGCACTTTCACTCGCAGCTGAACTGGGCCTCCATCATCCATCAGTACATGTAGTACACCTTATTGTCCACCCTGTCTCGTCCCACTGAATCCACCCAGCGAAGCGGAAGTCTGCCTCGAGATTCGACGCTTGAAGCGCTTCAAGGCTGCCGGCTTAGACGGACTTCCTCCGGAGCTATTCAAGTATGGCGGTGTGGCAGTCATTAACCAGTTAACCGCGCTGTTCGCAAAAATTTGGCATGAAGAGAAAGTGCCTTCCTCTTGGGGCGAATCAATTATTGTCCCAATGTTCAAGAAAGGTGCTCGCACTTCATGTGCAAATCATCGCGGGATTAGTCTTATTTCGGTTGCCTCTAAGCTGTTGGCATCCATACTACTTCGTAGACTATCCCCAGTACGTGAATCATACTACCGTGAAGAACAAGCTGGTTTCCATCCTGGCCGCGGATGCGTGGATCAAATCTTCACGCTCCGCCAACTCCTTGAACATCGCCACATTTATCACAGGCCCACTATCGTTGCATTCTTAGACATACGTGCCGCTTTTCACTCCGTTAATTGACGTGCTTTATGGCATTGCTTGCTAAAGAACGGGGTGCAAGAGAAATATACCGCCATCTTACGAGCACTTTACCTTCATACATGCGGCAGAGTGAGGGTCTATGGCAAGCTTTCCTCGCAATTCGCTGTCAATAGCGGTGTGTGACAGGGCTGCCTTATGTCCCCATTCCTCTTCAACTTCGCAATCGAAGACGTTCTGTCGAATGCCCTAGAAGGTTTCAAACATTTTGGCCTAGAGCTTCTACCGGGTGAACGCGCGACCGACTTAGATTATGCTGATGATATCGCCTTACTTGGTGACGATCCTCAGGGTATGCAACTCATTCTGAATCGCTTGGCGGTTGAAGCATCTAAGTATGGCATGAGCATCGCCCCATCGAAGTGCAAAGTACTGCTCAATGATTGGCTTTCACCTGCACCCGTGCTCACTCTCCAAGGTGCACAACTTGAACAGGTAGATCGTTTCGTCTACCTTGGGAGCTGTGTTTCCGCTGACGGCACTATCAACAAAGAAGTTTCTCTTCGTATCGCTAAAGCTCGATCAGCATTTGTCAAGCTGAGGCACTTGTGGCGTCGTCGCGACGTCTCATTCTCCCTAAAGGGCCGAGTTTACAGCGCGTCAGTTCGCTCATTATTGTTGTATGGGAGCGAGTCCTGGCCGATTCGCGTGGAAGACATGCGTCGTCTTTCTGCCTTCGATAACGGTTGTTTAAGGAGGGTCGCTCGTGTCCGGTGGCAACATCGAGTTA